AGAGGTGAAACGTCTTCAAGAAACTTCCAAAAGTCCAGACGTTTTTCTTTCCAAGCTCCTTAGACTACGATGACGTGAATGACTGAGAACCTTCACAGACCCACTGTGGAAATAGATTGTTTATCGCAACAAGCAAAACACTGAGACCAATCGCAAGTGTAATATTTGTAATATACTTTTCATGTCATACTATAAAGTGACAGGACTAAAGTATCTGTTCAATTTCAGCTCGTCTTTTGTAGCAATTGTTGCAGAGTAAACCTCGCTAACGTTGACAAATGAACCATCCTCTAAGCATGTTGCTGCCCTCAGTCGCGCTCGCTCCCTAAATTGGCACTCAATCATGAAAATTTGGAGAGCCTCTGCTTTTCATTATGGTTAGTTTGCCTGTAAAAATAATATTTGTAGTGGAAAATGACTTCTTATACATATTTTATGTGCTTTTTATATCCTTATTGTTTAGTGGAAATCTAATTAGGCCCTAATAGGAAAATATAAAATTTATAATCAATTAAATTTAGTCACACAGACAAAACCACAGACATTTCTCATTTCTAAGTGCAAGACAACTGTCTGTTTACAGTAAACAAGTGAGTGAAATTTACAGTTTTCAGTTGTAAATTGGCACATCTGCATAAAGTACATGCGAGCATCGGAAATTACCGTATTCCCATTCTGCCTGTTATTGTTTGTGTTCCTCTGCTTTCTGACCCTGCAGCTGAGCCTACTGTCTGCTGCTCCGCGGGGTGCTGCACACACCTGTGGGTAAATCAGCAAGAAATACAGTCATGTGCAAATACAGCAGAATTCATCGTTTTGTAGTGTTTGTAAACCAAAAACATTTAAGTGTAAAGGTGAGCAGACAAATAGGACTTCGGCTCTGTTTCTAATCAGTTATGTTGATCGTGGTGGGTTTTGTTTTTACTTGTTTTTTTTTTTAATGAAAATGTGTTTGGGTAAATTATCACCTGCCTTATTCCACACACGCTTTCAATTTCTCTCAGGATGACTCGTTTCTAAGTCAGTCCTACGTATTATTTTATTCATTTTTATTCATTTTTATGTAAGAAACAATAACTTGCAGTCTGTTGTTTTTCCTTTGATTTGGCCATTTTTCCATCCATACTTACTGAGTGCGAATGAGTGCACCTGCTCCCAAACCTCCCATACATCATCTCCATAGGGAGTAGTGTGATTGAAATATGTTATGTATGACCCTGTGTATACGTCTGCACCACCACAGACACACACACACTGACCACAGGTGCTGCTTTTCCAATATCCCTGTCTCTCTTGTATGATTTGGTTTTAGGGTGAAGTTAGGGTGAGACACACACACACACACACACACACACACACCGCGTAAACAGAAATAACCTCAAGGTTAAGATTTAATCATTTGGGCCCTCTGTAGACGTACCGCACCTCCATTCACATACATAGAAATCAAAGCCAAGCTTTGTGCATGTGCATGCACACAAGTCAATTTCTTTTTTTATATATATTGGGGTCAACGGTTTGGGATTGCTGGAGTTTTTTTAATAGTATTGGAGAAACTCACAAACATACAGCCTAAAAATATCAGTCTGTTGTGGTCAAATGGAAAACATTTCTTACACTGAACAAAATATAAAACAGGCTTTTTATGTGCGTGCTGCACACTGAGTGAATAGCCATTATGACATGCTCTCTGTCTTTGTTTCTCATAATATCAGATGCCTACATTTATGCACTTGCATATAACTATGGTTTCACCATGCAGGCCCTGATGGGTTTTTGTTTGGAGATGCTGTGTAGAAATGTTGTTTTTTGGGTTTTTTGCTGTTCCATGTGTTCTGTGAAGTCTAAGAATGGCACAAAGGCAGAAACAGCATCATTAAACTTTTTACTTGTTACCCATTTACCCACTGGTGTCACCTTAGTCTAACTGGTAAAGTTGTCATTCATGGTGTGAAAGCACAGGGCTGGGATACAGATCTTTATGTTCTGTATTAGATAAGATAAGTCAACAGTTTTTGTGCACTTTCTGTTTTAAGACATTGACATGCCATGGCAGGCAAAAAATAACCAAATGACTTCTGCGCCATTGGCTGCACCTCCTTGTTAATGCAAATGTATGCAAATGTAAAATTCCACAGATTTTCCAGTAACATGATGTCTTTATGTGGTTGGAATTTATCGGAGCTTAAATGGTGACTAAGTCAAGGTTACCGTGAGAAAGCTTTTGCTTTGATTGGCCAGCGAGACTAGAAAAGTGCTCTATAAAAGCAAGTCCATACCTGAGGATGAGAGATGAAAAGGCAGAGAACATATGCATGGACCCGTAATATTGAATCTAACAGAGGATCTAATGCAGACTTAATTTTTTAGTCTGACCCTAGGAAATGTTTAGTGTCCTACTAAGTCATCTACAGTCTAAATTTGCACTTTGATTCACTGATTTAAAAAAGAAAAATTCCACAAAATATGATCTAAAGTTCAGCTGCTGCCTACGCCATTTAATCCACAACTACATGAAACCTTATTTTGCAAATGTACAGTCTTGCGTTCTTTGAGATTCTGCGTCCTCTGCACATCTACGTCTGGTTGGCTGCTTGTAACAGCCAGCGCCTGTCTTTTATCGTCACATGGTTGATAGCAGTTACGCCTGGATTAGTTTTCAGTTAGATGAAAATGTGAAAGAAGAAGCCAAAGCGACTGTCACTGAGAATTTGACAGCGACTGTCAGGGCTCCGTTAATGCGCCGCTCCCTCCGCGCCCTCTCTGTAAATGTTTAGTTAAATACAGCCTCCGTTTTCCAAAAATACAACACAATAAAGCGTCCTTTGACCTCAAACGTCGTGTGATGTCATAAATGTGCTTTTGTATGTTAGCTTTGAGCTGCAAGGTAATGCTTCTACATTCAGGCTCATGTGGTGTTGTATGCTTTTTCATTTGCTGTTCACTTGATCATTCTTTAAGATTGTTTGTATTTTTAATCAATAGATTAATTTCAAAATAAAGGCCCGTTGCTAATATGATATATTATAATTTATAATGAGAAAAAAAGTCACTTTAAACCAAATAAAAAAATTAAAAAAAAAAAGAAAGAAATTCAGGATGTGCACCATAATATTTACTGTAGTTGTTTTCTCTCTTTTTTTTTTCCAGCATAGTTTTTGTCTCTGCACTAGCAAGCTTATTCTGTAGCTAGGATTGTTGTGTGCGTGTGTGTGTGCGCATATGTGTGTGTGCGCGTTTCTGTTAAATTGATGGAGAGCTTGTTATTGTTGGTCTGGAAAGCATCCCTTGGGACTGAGAGGAGAAAGCAACCACACAGCTGAGACCACTCTCACTAAAGTCCTGTG